GGAAATCTTACTGAAACCCCCATTACAAAAAACCAAAAGCTCCTACCCATTTAAAAGAAAATTCATTCGCAGCTTTAGCAGCTTAAGGTTTCAAAGTGTCATCCTTGGACACAGAGGCCTAATATTCCTGATTTTGAATGAGTGAAAGTCTGGAAACCAACAAGAGTTCAGTTTTGTTAGCAGACATCATCTGATACCACTCACATCTCCCTAGATGACAAAAGTCATTAACTGAAGAAAATAATTAAAATTTATAGATAAGTTATTTCATGCACCTAACTGAAACTGAATTGTGTTCTGACTATATGCCACACATCCAGTGTAAAAGAATTCTCCACAACACCAAATCAACTTTAACTTGAGAAGTAATGTTTTTCTAAAAGTTGCAGAGCATCCACAAAGAGGCTTCTGACCAGTACTGCAAAAACAATACCCAACTTACTCTTTAAGAAAACATTCCTTCGATCTGTAACAAGGTTTCTTATTAAATACCATTTCACTCAATTTCCAAAATATTTTGACAAGAAAAATTCCTGAAAACACCTGGCTGTTTCTTCAGTTAGAAAGAACTTAGAAGCAGAAATGTTTAATTTGATTTTACATTTTGAAAGCAATTCACAAAAAGCATGAGTGCTCAATACATCTTTTCTCCTCACATCAATAGACTAGCAGTTATCTGACAACAATTTTTTGAGAAAAGTTCTTTTATTTTGGAACTTTTGAACAAGAGTCACAGGATTTGACAGAAATACCCAGACACCTTCAGATAACAGGTCTCCGAAATGTAGCTTTCATTCTTTAAGTCCTTTTTGAATAATTACAACTATGTACAGTCAAGCTCAATAGTACAACTGTGCAAAAAGAAAAATCAGTCCTAGGTGTGCAAGACTTAAAATAGGCTGTCTTTAATACTATGAAATCAAAACCCATGACATAAAGGTGATGAATGGAAAAATTGGCAGAGTCACAAGAAAGCACCACTTTTATTGGTCATGTTTTTTGCACTTTAGCCCAGTGAAATCACTTGCCAGCTTCCAGCCCTGACAGACAATCCAGGCAGGAAGAGACAACACATAAGAGTCCTTAAACAAAACCCTACAATGTCTCTCCCTGTCTCAGGGAAGGAACTGTATCTAGAACCACACAGGGAACAACTAAGACAGCAGCACTGATTTTTACAACATTCGCTTATTTGTATGGAGTTGTGAATAAAAGTGAAATTTTTCAGTCATTGAATACTAAGTTAGGCAACACGTTTTGAAAGAAACAAAAAAGTAGTCAGGTTCTATTTTCACTACCTGTAATTATTAACTCTTATTTTCTTTAATTAGGTCTTCTGTGATCTCCCCAGGAATCCATCTGAGAAAAGTATGGCAGTCTTAATCATTGAAGGTAAAGAGTTCATCTAGTATTCTACATCATAGACATGAACCTTCACATTTCCAATGCATTTAAAATGTTAGATTTCTGATTTTATTCTGCTAAATACCAAAGTTTCATGTCTAATTTGTTGGAAAGGACAGAGATATAGTACTAGATAAATGACGTGCAAGTCTATAAACACATACAGAGAAAAGACTGGACAAAGAAAGCTTTCCTTCTAAGAAATCAGCATTTCATTCCTAGAACACTACTTCTAAGTTGTAGAACTTTTGCCTAACAGAAGAATGTGGGGGTTGGGAATAGTTAATCATGTATAACTGCAGAATTCAACCAAGCACAATAAGATTTCATGCAATATACCTTATTAAAAGAGTACATTAAATACTGGTATGGTATGAAAGTACATATATCATGTTTCTGATTAGAATTACAAAGTTCTACAAGCAACTTGAAACAGGCGGGATCGAAAGCATAGCGTATTAGAAAAGCCACATGTTTTTCTATTTCTTTCCAAATAAAGTTCTGTTACAAATGATGCTGCCACAAAACAAGGCAATGAAGACATGAAATGCCAGCATTATAACTGTATGCCAAAATATATGCCTGACAAACCATTTAATTATGGATTCCATAACAAATGTGCCTATCTTAAGTAAATTGGACAATCCAAAGGATATAATCCATTCTGATGAATTTTTTTTTCTTTTTCTTGCTCAGCTTTTCCAGTTGTCATCTGCTGTATGACAACTCATTCAACTTGCACATTGGATTAGGTGAAGATTTTCATAGTATTTGCATGAGAGGTTTTTACTTCTCTCTTGCTTGTCCAGTGTTGTACAATCATTAGAAAAGTGTTTTGACCCAAAGGCAGTATGCTTGATGACAGAAAGACCCATAAGTTTGTTCAAATTAAACAACTCATCAATGAAATGCAGGAAGAGCATCTGGACAGAATCTGAGTGCCAGCTGTGGCTACTTCAAATTAAAGCTCACTAACTGGTCCATAAAGAGCAGCATTCTTCCTCTGATTCTCAGCTCCCACTGCTTCTAGAAACCGTGGTGTGAAAATGACTTAAGCTAGCAGTTTCCTTGGTATATAGCAAGTAACAATCACACTCCTAGCCTGATGTGTGTCTTACAAGAAAACACCCAAACAGTTGGGCGTTAAACACTTTTTGACAGAGGATGATGATATATCGAGGTACTAACATAGCCACTCATTCTGCCTTCCCTAAACCAGTAATCTCTTCAAGGCTTTGCTAGCTGCTATAATTGTGAGCCTTCAACTAAACCTTTCCAAAAAAGTTTAAACATACATTGACTGTATGCAAAGGGCTAAATATATGTTCATATTCCCTAGATACAAACCGCACATCCTTAGACTGATTACAGTATATAGTGTGTGTCTTTTAGGTAATGTATCTCAGTAGGAAACTCGATTTTTTACTTTGTCTCCCTTTAAAGTCTGTGTAAAAGCAGTGATACAGACACCAGACTCCTCGCTGTTAAAAAGAAAGAATTAAGTCACACCACAACTCTGTTTAATGAGTTGAGTCTGCAGTGTTCTTTCCCCAGGATATTAATCTTTCTAAAAGCATTCTTGCTATTCTTCACTGTTACCATCTAATAGCAGTAATTACTTCTTGTTCTGCGTTATCAGATGTCACAGGTATTAAATGACTTTTTTTGTCATTGGATTGGAGTATCTAAAAAAGGTTTTCTTTAAGAAGCAATCACTGACAAAAGGAAGCACATGAGCTCTGGCTTATACAGCTACATTTGCAAAGATGGATGCAGCAGATGTGCCCACACACATAAATAGTCATTAAGAAGGTCAGAAAACACTGCATCTGAAGAGCCAACTGCACATCCATTCTATATATGCACTCCTGCCTAAACATAGTGGCTTAGAAGGTACGTTCAGATGTCAACCTTGTTTCACAACACTATGTAAATGATATATTTAACAACTGGAGGTAACTGAATTACCAGTCTTTAGTAGATCGGCTTGCATTTTTGTTATAAAGGGAACTACAATATCAACTTTATATATGAGATATCTTGACTGGAAGACAAAATGGGCTCCTAAGGACAATCCAGAAAGCATAACAGAAAATAAACATTAAGATTTTTTATTATATATATGCAATCACAGTATATCTTCATCAATTGAAATTTAATCACCTTTTTACAATTTAGAGGAAAAGGCAGTTTTTAGGGTAGTTAAGCCATGTATCATCAATACCATGAAGCTAACCTATCAGTTATAATAGCTCCTATAAAATACCAGGGTGAAATTGCAATAAGCCTAGAAAATGGGCTACAAATCCCAGATATGCTCAAGCAAGCACTGAACCAAAAATAAAAATAGGTAGACAGGAAACCAAGAACTAGATAGCATTCATCTAATTCACAACCACGAACAGCAAAGATCACAGGCCAAGGTTTTAAAGCATCTCATTCAGCTCCAAATGGCAATTATTGGACAGGGACTTCAATTATAAAAACCTTCCCTCTTCAAAACGAGTTAAAATTCTAACAGTTCCTTTCTATTCTCTCCACATATAATAGCTCTTACATTTCTCAGAAGGACATTATTTTGTTTAGGCAAATTAAAATTTGAAAACATTTAATGTTCTGAAATAACAACATCAATGTTACAGTATTTATAGTGCTGGGATATATTTATTACACACGGACAAAGAGTCTCCCACATTCTCCTTCTCTTCCAAACACTATTCTGATAAGAAAGGAATAGACTGCACTACAATGAATACATTGTAACATTTTAAATTAAAAGTCAAGTCTCTCTGCTCCTCATGCCCTCCTCCAAAGAACAAATTCTTAAAAATTCATTAGAATCTTACTTTAGAAAAAAGCTATGGGAAAATCCAATCATTAGACTGTACAAAAATGCGAGGACAGCTGGATTTTTTCTTTCCTTCACTTGTAAACATTACTCCTAAAGCTGAAGGTACTAAAAAACCTCAAACATCTCTCATTTGTAGTCACAGCCTTAGAACAGACTCAATCCAAAGGAACGCATGATGTCTATGACAAGTGCATTGCTACCTTGCTTTAAATATTTTGTATATACCCTTTCCCCTGACCACACAGAAGTCAACTAAACAAAAGAGAATAAGGATAGATTTTTTCAAAGCAGACTTTTGGGGGGTGGGGAATCAAAATCAGAATTGTACCACAATCCATCCTAGAATGCTTTCAGTATCAGAAAAACTTCAAATAACTTTGGTTTGATTTTCATTGTAGAGAAACATGTTTTTGTACACACAAGATATATACTGAAAATGTTAAATAATGCCCCCCCAACTTCTTCCTTCACTCAGTTCGAAATAAGTACTGAGAAACAGTCTCAGACTGTTTCTGCCATTCAAATACGGACAAATACACACAAATATTCCATTACAATAGAATTGTAGTGGGAAGAGTCTAACTATTAAAAAAGCAAACAAAAAATATCAGGCAGCAGTGGCGCTGTAGTCTTACCATTCCATTATCTATCTACAGCATTAGGAAATAAGCATGAGAGTAGTATCCTTTTTTAAAAACAACTCTAAGAACAGTGCACATTAGCTTCCAACAATAAAAGCACCTACCAATGCATTCTGGTTTCCTGAAGCCTTTTTTATGTTTCTTGCTGGCACTCCATGAAGATGACTAAATCTACCCTGGAAACCTACAAGAAAGGAGTACGAATCACTTTAAGAATATTTCCTATACCATACAACCAATAAAATTCACCATTGCATACCAATCTATTAATCTGATTTCAGTTAAACAAAAACATCTTAATATAGTGTCAAACATTGTACTGGTGGAAACAAAATGCACAGAATGGGAAAGTGAGAGAAAGGCTAAGTTGTCATGAAAATGAACATTACTGTAGATTTTCTTACTGCCATCCTGGTTCTATGCACAGCTGGCTGCCTAAGCAGAGCATACTGAACTACAGTAGGAAAGTGATTTTTGCATCACTTACAACTTCATTAATACTAGAAAATGTTAAATCTGGTGAACATGCAGAGACCAAGTCCTCAGAAACAAATCCAAGCATGTGGAAAATAAGCCTCACAAAAGAATTCAATGCATTCAGTGTGCAGAGTAGTTTAAAAGTGATTTGACCACTGCTCACATAAAAGATCTGTATTTGAATGTGAAAGGAGATCCTTGGGGCAGAAGGAAGGTACAACAAAATTCTTTGTCAGCAAGCTGAGGTCTGACAACTTCAATCTTAAGAGTGGGTTCCTAGCTATAAATGCAGTCAAACACTAGTACAACTTACCATTGGATACACTGGATCCACAGTTGTCTAAAGTATTTTAAAAAAAAAAAAAAAAAAAAAAAAGGATATTTTCTAAGTTACAATCTCAGTCCTTGCTCTAAAGGAACCCTTCCCTCTTCTCTACAAACAATATGGCCCAACCATAAAGCAAAGCAGATGGTCACACTAGTCTTTCCAGCCTTTGAATTAATGAACTTCTATAGAATTCTAAGTGTTATCACAGAACCTAGGAACAAAATGGAATATAAAGATTCACTTTAAATAACGCTTAATAATTCTCAATGCAAACATCGAGACAACAAATAAAAGAGTAGGCTATCAAAATGAGCCAAGTTTTACACTTTGATTTTTCTAATCATTGACTTTTTAATTATTTCTCTCTAATATCTTAAAAATGAAATAGTTCAAGGAAACAAACTGGTAACTCCAAGATCTTGTCAAAATTTTACATATTTTGTATAGTGCACAGACACCTTTCTACTGTACTGAGTTTGCCTTTGCTTGATTGCTACTTACCTCTCCTCCCTGAACGGGACATAAGAGGGAAAGTACCAGTTAAGATACTTTCAAAGACTGGATCAGGCAATTCTCTCTCCAGCTCTGTAGAGTCTTCTTGTTCCCACCATGGAATGACTCCTGTAATTCCACATGCTCCACCAGATTCATTTTCATGAAACCAATCACTCTGCTCATCATCACCTGTATGAGGGCAGTATCCCCACAAGCATCCCAAAAAAGAGGGAGGAGCAGAGAAGATAAAAATCAGATGTTACCATCAATAAACACTGACAGGACAATTATTTCTTTTACTTTATAGCTGTATAACAATTACTTGTATATAGCAGTTCTATTTGGAAAATGTTTCTCAATAGCATGACAAGCTTTGCCATCAATGAAACCACATAAAATGTAATGTTTTAAAACCAATTTCAATAGTGAAAAACAATAATAAACTAGTTAATCCTTTGGCAATAACTGCAGGGAAATCCATTTAAGTTACTGCACTTTACATATTAACAAAAACCAAGCCTTAATCTCCTGCAGGGAATTAAAAGGTATAAAACTGTGAAACTAGTTCTTTGCAGCTGATAATGGTATATAATTAGCTTAATTTCATGATTTGTATGTCTAGTAAAAGGGGAAAACAATCATGAACAGATGTGACTAAATGAAGTTAGTCTGATTAAGTTCATTTAGAAATAAGTTTTGAAAAAGTTGATTTTAAATGAAAACTGACAGTGTCATGTGATTGAGAATTATACAGCATTATACCACAAAGCTGGTCATATTTACTGACAATATTTATAGATGTAGTATTTAAATATATGGATTTAAAGTCAAAAGTAAGACAAAACTGAAAATCTGATCTTAAACTTAGCTCATAAACACACTGGCAACTAAAAATAAATTGCTATGTTTGTTTTAAAACATGTTCTTTTACACAAACCAGGCAGTTTACAGAAGATAGAAAATATCTTCATAAGACATGGCAAGTTTCCTTTCTTGCACCCAAAAATTAGATTTCAAAGAATGTGCTGTATCTTTTAATTCTACTTCAAAGTAGCCAAACCATGCCTCACTGTTTCTGCATATAAATTATTTTTTGACATTTCAATTTTTAATTAGGCAGGACTAAGCAAGACACAAATGCAAGATTTATTAGACACAATTTTCAAGAACAAAAAGCATTCATGTAAAATTTCATTGCCACTCAACCTCGCAATGGGAAAATATAAGTAATGAAAAGCCAAGCTAAAATCTAAGGAAAAATAAAATTCAACACACTTTCTCCAAATAAATTGTTTCAATGAAAACAATACTTCAAGACCAAGCACAAGTGAAAACGGCTGTAAACCTTCATTAGGACAACTAATTAGAAAAATATAGAATAATTAAGGCCCCCCACTGGTCACTTGCAGGTGAAATGTGATCCTTACATCTTTAATGATCACTACTATCAGCAAAATTAGCAGAGGCTAGAGAACAGAAACTTTTAGATGGAGGAAGCGGAAAACAGGTAGAAAGAGATATATAGGTCCAAATAAGATGTAAGTTTCTTTGTGTTCCTGGTGCATTTCAGATTACTCTCTGTATTTATTCTAAACCTCGTTTATAGCTATGACATTTCACAAAGGCGTTCACCATTAATTCTATCTTCATTTTGTTACAGCCAGGTATGGTTGCTTTGAAGGATGTCTAAGAGTACCGAACAGAGACTTTCCAAACTCTTATGTAGATAAACCTTGTCTGAATATTTTGTCGTGAGAGCTCTAGATAACTCGACTAAGAAGAAATACTATTAGGAGCTCAAAAGAAGTCTTGTTACACATAATTCAGCTATGAAATTAAGTAGGGAGTTCTGAAATCGGGTTTCATAATCAGCTCAAGGACAAAAGTCTGTAAGAGGTATGCAATGCAGTCTTGGAAGAAAGACCTAGGATTAAAGACTGTGTTGGTGGACTGCAGGACATGGCAAACAGTGGTTATGAAAGGAAACTGGTATCTTCACTATATGCCCAACAACAGTTCTTTGGGAAAAAATACAAAATTACTTTTCTTTTTTGTGCAATATGAATATTAATATGTTAAGCAACTATCTGTTAAGAAATCTTACCTGTTATGCTATTATATACTTCCCTAAGCACTTATGTTGCTTACTGCCAAAGGCATAATAAAGGACTTCAGATCTGAACTTCATAGGCTTTTCCCACATGACAGTAGAATCCAGGTATACCTGGTTTTTAGCTTCCTTGTCCGTACATTCTAAACAACTCTGAATCCTTTGACCATATTCAATCTTACTATCCCCTTGAGGTGGGCATAACCCTATTACTACTATTTTCATGCAGGTGAGAGCACCCACAGGCATTTTGTTTACCAGCTGCTCCACCCTGAAGGGATGACATTTTCAAAAGGAGTCAGGGAAGACCACTGCATTTCATCAATTCCCAACCTCATATGTATAGACAATATAACATAGAGGCCTCCTCGCTCAAGAGTTTGGTAACCAAATACTTGGGTTTTATCCTACTTAATCTGCAGCTCTCAACAGGCAATGCAGTATCCATAGCAAACATGAACTTCGAGAAATAAAAATTCAAAGAAGCATTTTTGACTTCAAAATACTGCAGAAGATTCACTACACTGTCCTTTCCTCTTAGGGCTGCTGAACCTCTATTCAGCACAAGACCACAGCAAATTACTGGAAAGCTACAGGAAAGGTAAAACCACATCCAGATGCCCAAAAACTGATCTCTGAGCCCATGCATTCTCCTAGCCACATATTTAAAATGCAACAAACTTATTTCTGGGTAATGCTAATGCTTCAAGGAATTACTTCCAAGCAATTTACATTCAATTATAACTGTACTAATCAGTTTAAAAAAAAAAAAAAAAATCAATTGAAGGCTCAGAAATGTCAACTTCAATTCTAAATTTTCAAGGCACTTCAGTTCCTGGCTTGCTTTATTTATTTATAATCCTTCCCCTCCCTCCAATTACTCTTACCCTAATTTTCACTACTGTATTACTGAGTCTACATATTTATCTAATTACCACTCCTTCATGTTAAACGACTTGCCTTCCCCTTTAAGAAGTCTAGAAAATTATTTATATGGGCTTCTTATGGTTTCTCTATGAACACAGACCCTATTTGCATCACTATCAGTTTCATGTTCAGAACAGCAGAATAGCTTCACCTGAATCTTATTTTAGCTAAAGCAGTGCAGGATTATAACAAACAGACTTTCCACTGCACACAGTTTTCCTCCTCATCCTAGTTTTATTTCAAAATGGCCAGACCACCCTCCATAGCAGTCACATATGGTGTACGTGTGCTTGCCACAACCTACTTTGAGAGGCTCCCATGAAAAGAATTCAGCATCACTGTCCTATAAACACCACTTGATACTGTGCTGCTCCACTATCCATCACCTTGCACACAGAGAGCAATAGCACATGGACTAGGATGCCAGCCTCATTTCCATGACCAGTATACCTCTTTCTAGGCAAAAAACCAAAAAAACCAAACAACACTGCTAACGGCTATAATAATCATTTGGAGATATCAGAAGATTAACTATAACACATAGGATTTTCAGGAAAGCAGAAGCTTAAGTTACCCATCCACAGAGGCACGTTGCATCTTGCTCTTTGTGCTCCATGGAGCCACCCTGGCAAAATGGATAGCAGGACACCATTCAATTTAAGCAGCTAGTTCTTCTGATTCAAGCTTGAAAACTTCACATGAAGGCCTCCTCCCACCCCTCCCATCCAATGCAATATCATACCCTGCTCTTCAGTAAGAGGACAGTACAGGTGTGCTGTTAATAAATTGGACCAAGGATATCACATGATCTCAGCTTTATGTTCACATCTACCACTGTGATCCACATACAATATTTAGGATTTCAACTATTCAGGTCATATACAACAACTCCATGTTATTTCTTTTTCACCTGCAGAGACTATAAACTAATTAGCCACAACAGTTCAAAACCAGTGTGATTACACCTGGCATTGCACTTTCCATTTCTTTTATACATGGAGAATGACACCCTGACACCTGCAGCTACTGAGATGCTATACAAGGTCCAAATTAGCTTCTCACTACAGAAGACAAAAGGATGGAACTCTCATATACTGAATCAGTAGTGGGTCATCTTCATAAAGGACACAGTAATGAATATATGTTTAACCATAAAATAATGAACAGCTATCTTTAAAAGCTCAGCCACATCCACAGCAGAACTCTGACATTCCCTGACCTTCTCCAATTTTAACTGTTTAACACTTTATTAATATAATTTTCCTTCCTACTTGCTTAGATCTTAAAGGACATTTCAAGTGCTGCATGTCATGATTTAAGAGGTCTTAAGTCAAACTTTGAATTTCCCCAAGTGTACCAGCAGGTGTAGATGGACTAGGAATGCAGAATATAATGTTTTATTTGCCATACCCACACTATAAAATTCATTAAAGAATATATTTGCAATTTGACTTTTTTTTCCCAAAACAGCAATAACATCAACTAGTGTTTGAATAATGTTACAGCTTTGTTAACATTGTGTCGAAAGCTTAACTTATAAAGTGCCTTTGTAAAGTGCACCTGTAAAGAGCCTTGAAACTGCAGGTGATCCTACTAGCTAGGCTTATAATAGAGTTGTATTATATGTTGCAATGTAAGATTAGACTTTTTGTTTTGAAACACTTCTTGCAAAAGTTTTCTACACCGGGCATAACACTGCTTAATATAAAAATTTTTAATAATTGCCAAACAGCCATTTATGAAAATGCTATTAGGAACAAGGAAAGAGTAGAAAGAAAAAGGAAAGTCACAAGGATTTCTGATGCATAAGCTCTAGCCACTGTTCAGTTCCTTCACTTTGTTGGCAGGCTCTCCCACCTCCGTACTCAAGGGCTTGATATTTGCATAGGATTTGGGGTTTTTGTTAACTATATTAAATCTTACCCCAAAGTTGGCCAATTTACAAACCTCTGAACAAATACAACCCGTAAGAATTCACTTGAGGTTTGTTAATGGTTAGCAGTTAATAGGTAGCCACTATTTTTCTCATTGACTGCACCTGCACTGAGCATTTTCTGTGATCTTTAAGCTTTTGCTGGCTAACTGTACAGGGTACGCAGTGTTTCACAGAAGAAAAACGTTTGCCACAATGGGACTGCAAAACATTGAGTACCAATTACTTCTGCCAGAAGGTAACACGATAGCAGAATAGAGCACAGCAAGAGACCTGCTTTTGCCCTCTCACATGACCTAACGTAAGCACCTGGATAACTTGGAAAAGGAGGACAAGCATGGCTAGGCTCAGATGAGGACTCCATAGGAACAAAACAAATCAAACAAACAAAAAAGCTATGAGACTGGAACAGAGGCAGGCTGGAAAGGAAGAGGTTATAAAGGTTTTTAAAAAATGTTAGATGGCACGCCACATAGCAGAAGGTGAATACAGGATTTTCAAGTCGCAGCAATTTTTTTTATCATACCAATTGATGGCAATTAAAATATATCTATCAATTAAACCACTACTACCCCCAATTATGCTACGCCTGGTTTTCTTGAATCAAATTATGAAAGTTGAAACTCTGTGCACAGAAGAGTACAGTTATTGTGGTGGAATTTATTTCCGTTCGCTTTCTGAAACAATTTTGGAAAATATTGTAAGTTGCAAGGTCAGGCACTCCAAAGCTCAGAACTACATACTCAACTATTTAAGTGACTGGCCAACTGCTTGAAGAAATTGCTGCTTTAGATCACTTTCTTTTGTAGGATATCTGTCCCATAGGATGAATATGCTTTGGAAATTAATTAGGGTTTTATAAAGAGTATTTGTCTGCAATAAATGAGATGATTCTTAATCTCAGAGACACAAAATGAACAAATCTTGCCCTGGAGAACCGGATCCTCTTGTCCTCTGCTACCCAAACTTCTGAATGATGGCAGGCACATCATTTATACCAAGTATTTCACCATGCTGTATTAATCAATCTCTGGTTCTCCACTTGACTTAGCAGAAACCTGAAGTCAGAAGTGCAGAAAATTTGAACTACAAATGAGGTCAAGATGCTGATATTCTGAACATATATCCTGGAGGAGGGACACTGGGAAGACAAGAATCAGTCTAGCTTTTAAAAACTGACCGCAAAATCAGCCAGTTCTTCCCTTAACACATTTTCATCCTGTCCTCTTTCAGCTTCATTTCTCTCACCTAGGCTTTTCCTTTACTTTTATCAGATTTATTTCCCGCTTCCTTCACTCTTTTCAATTTTATGTGTCTCAGCTCACCTATAAATTAATTTACAGAGATAAAATAACCTCATCTTACTTCATAAGAGTACAAAGATAAGAATTATTAGCATTTTCGGGGGGGGGGAATAAGTATTATTAGAAAATAAACAATTTTAGTTTTGCAGTAGGATCTCTGATAATAACTTCATGGAAAAGTCTTCACAAAACCAAAGGTGTAATGCAGATCTAAGAACGTCTGAAAACCAGTGTGAAGCTAATGGTCTTCTGATCATACCCACAAAATAACTAGTTCAAAGTAGAGACTAAAAAAATTAATATTTTGTCCTGACAATATCCTTCTGAAGTTTATTGCTGTTCTTTTTATTTATATTTCAGAATACTATTTCAGGTCTAATGTTTTATGCTTGAAAATTACAATCAAACTGAATCAAGGTTCAAAAAATCAAACAGGTGAAAATAAGAATTAGAGCTTTATAGTATATAACAAACACTAAAAAAGGTAACTTCACACCAGTGAAAGAACACTGCTGTTCACCAGTCCCTCCCCTTTTCTCCTCCCACAAAATATGTAAGAAAAACAAAAAGTAACTGAAGTATTTTCAACCATATTATTCAAAGATTTAAATTATTTAGTTCAGGATTTAAGGACAAACATATTGATACAAATATATCAGAAGGGTACTTCAAAAATGTATGTAATTATGAAATGCAGTAGGTCATGTTACATACAAATATAGAGGACAAATTCTAAAAATTGCAAGTCAAAAGAGAAATTAATATAGGGAAGTAAAAGCAAATCTTTTTGATGTGTCTCATTGAAATACTTCTCATCTGAAGTTAAAAGATCAATCGAACCTTTCAAAGAGAGCCTAAATTCTTCAAAAAAGCTATGTGTTAGCACAACTAAACACAGATACTCAGTCTGGGAGGTACGCTTTATGTAGCACAAGTTGCTGTTGAGCAAGGAAGGTAACACCTCTGTTCTAAGTCTGAAAAATCATCTCCCTACTGTAACATGAAAATAGAAAATAAAAAAGCTAGAAGAGACTGAATTATACGTTAGAGAAAGAAAAAACCCATCCCTTTAACCTATATCTGTGGAATGGGACAGGATTTGTTTTCTTGCACACACTCAAGTAGTCTGTGGCAAACTGCATAAGAAAATAATCTCCATTACCATTAACTTGGAATCACCAACAGAAAAGCAAGTCTTAATCACCTGAGAGACTATTTTTGCCTCATTTTTGTATACTGTCAAAGAGAGCAATTTCCTAGTCCATGAGCTGGGTACTAAGATGCTAGCATAATACAGGTAAATGTGTTGCACTTAAACACAGCAATAAACACTAAAGCTGAAAAAAAAAAATCTTATAGTTCCATCCTCAATAGTTTTATCACATAAGAACACAAGAATATTATGCATACTAAAGAAAAACTTTGAATCTTCACTGTATTTTAAAGAAAAAAATTTTTAAGAAGGGAGAGATTTTAAACAGCACGCATTTTCTAATCTCAATATTAGACTGCTGCAGAAGTAGTTTCTTTGAAACTACTCTTCAAACAAACCACTGAATGAAAAAGAACTATAAAATCCTGCAATATCAATTTGGAAGCAAAGAAAGAAAAAAGACACCTCAAAAATAGTTTGAGAAGCAGTACTATGATCAGAGAGTCCTGTCCAAAAATTGGAGCAAAAAAAGAATTAAAACTTAGTATAGACAACCTTTTGGAGATGCTCAAATTGTAAGTAAATTTATTATATTACAGAGACTGCTTCTCAAGACAGCTTTTGACTAAGTCATGGGTTCAGGACACCCTCTGGTAACATTTCAAGAAACCCAGACAGCAAGCTATACTTCAACTCATTAAAATAGTAAGAGCAACTGAAATATAGTAATTAACCTGTGGAGTAACTTGTAACGCTTACAGAATTTCAACTGATGTGGTTTGAGGGGTGGAGAAGGGAAAGATTGTTTCAATACCTTGTCTTCCCTCATCATTGGTAAACAAACCAGCATCACTGCTGCTCAGACTGCTGGATTCACTGTAATAAGAGAAAGAAAGAAACAGATCAAAAGAACAATTGATCTTTCAGTCGTAAAATTTTAAGGAGACAAGGCTGTGCTCAAATTGAACTTAAGCCCAACAAAGATCGGAAAGAAAATAGGATGATTTTTTTTTTTTTAATCAAACTGCAAATATCCTAGTTCCATTAACTACAAAGCATATTATTTTTGGCACATAAAACCACGGGAATCTAATGGTACCCTGACAGTAAGCCAGATGTGACTGCAACGAGGTGCTGACACAATTGATGCATTTTATTATCTGCTTCCATCAAATGCTCACTGCTTCCTTCTTATGTTGTGCAATTCAGCTTGATCCTGGAACACCACCGCTCAATAAAATAGGAAAAGTCTCAATCAAAAGCAGCCTAAGCCATCCTTCAGCACATGAAATATAAGAGTCTGAAAATCGAATTACCTTTCTAAACATCATTCGCAACTATTCTGGAAAAGACACGGTTTAAGGTTTCACAGTATACTATTTGGGAAGAAAGAAAAAGTTTATAACAAAGGTAGCCAATTAAATCAAAATAAAGGTCACCCTGAAGAAAGTAAGTATGATCAATGATCATAACATCAACAAAAAAAGCAAGATACAGTTTACTTTTCTGTGACTTCCATCATGGCCTTAAAATGCATGTATACAACATGTACACACTTCTCTCTAAATTCAAAGACATCAATAGGTAAAGTATTTTGTTCTTTGTTGTATACACATTGTTACAAACAATATTCCACGTGTCTCTAAATAGTAAAACAGAATTGTCTTTTAATAACACAGATCACAATTTGGTGAATTTCACACAAAAGGATTTTTTGTAAACCATTTATTTCATTTTTTGTCAATAGAGCAGCTCTGCTAAGGCAGTAATATTCTCACCAAAATGTAATCACATTTTACTTACAGCGAGGTGTAGAACAATTTGAAAAAAAATCACTTCAGTTAACCACACAAATTCAAGTACAAGTTATAAATACTATGGCTACTCTCAATGTTCCATACAAGCTATTTATAAAGACTTGAGGTCTGTTTGCGTTTCTACACTTATTCATATTAAAACATAGATACAGTCCTATACTTGAATTCAACTGGTTTCAATTATCTTTAGTTACTTTCTAATAATAAATTAGTTTTATTTTTGTTTCTAAATAACTAGTACACTTTGGAAATTTTTTTCCTTTTAAATGTTAATCTCTCACAAAAATAAGACTCTTTTTTAAAGTTTGTAATATGAATTATATACTTAAACACAAAATATACTAATTTTATAAGTACATATTTGGGTTTTGTCTCTTCTTTTGGGAGGACTTGAAACACAATACGGTATCAGGAAACACAAACCAGTGATTTTTTTTTTAAAAAATATATCTACAGCTCTGTGTTTAAAAATTAAGTTTCCTTAATCTTTGCTGTATCTTCTGCTTATCCATATTCTTACTGTATAAGCAACTTATACCATCTTTTATACATAATATAATCAGAACTGACTTAAGCACTTGCACAATTGCCCTAAGCAGAAGAAAGATGACAGGCATGCAATGAGAACAGAACCGTCTTTCATGATGGAGACCAAAATTTGAACTTCCTAGTTTTGCAAAACCTAATAACTTCTTTCTAGCAAGCATCCCATCCTCACTTTACTTACAACATAGATGGCTTTACTATCTTCACATTCCACTGTGCACAATTTTACATCATACATCTCAAAGAGAAACCATCCCCTTTTCATAAATTTTTCCTATCCATTTATTGTTGAATTGTACTTTTTAAAATGAAAGTTAGGAAATCCTTTCAACCCTAGTATTTCAGCCACTTTCCCCTCCAAAATTTCCAATTTTGAGAACAGTCTCCTTCCTTTTTTCTTTTTTTTTTCTTTAAAGATATTTTAATTGTGCAATAATTCTTACCAAAGGACTATCCAGTTCATGAAAACATAACCACTTGAAATTTTCAAAATTACATGTACTTTTTTTTTTTTTAAAAATCAAACCATAATACTAGTATATCCATGGCAGCCACAGTGTTCATTCTCCTCAGGCCACAGTCAAACAGGGCAGGGATTACAGCTGAGATAATTGCTACATGGCAGTCATTTCACTGAATAAATTCAAAACCCCTGGAATTAATACATTAATACTAAAGTACGTGAAAGCTGTTATGATGGCATTTATTTCCAGTTTTAATATAATTTTGCACTGTATATTACTAATTCCTTGGCTTTGTAATGACAATACCACTCTCAGCAAGACTTCCAGGAAAAAGAAAAAAGCCACAGATTCCTTTTAGTCCTATAAAATAGGGTATGCAAGCAAAAACTTGGAAGGAGAAGCTCTGCTACCCAAAAAGCTTTCACAGCTTTATTTATACATCTGTGGAAGCAAAGAAGAAATAAGTTTTATTGTTAGTTACTACTACTAGCAAACTGTCCCATACCTTGGTTTCATAGGAGACTGGTGAGCTTCGTTCACTAACCAAGCCTGATCCCAAGAACTGACCAGCCACTCTACTCGCACTGACTGGCAGGCTGGTGGGCAGGCATCTGGCATTATTAAGCTCCGAGTTTCACTGCCGCTCTCTTTCAAAAGGGGCAACTGAGACTTCTCCTCTATTTAGTCACTTAAAATGCAAACACTTGCCAAAGCTTGCAGGAATTAAATATCATCCAGAACTCCATGCATTGGCAAATTTGGCTGAAACTGGCCAAGGAGCTAAGCATTGAGGATAAGGGAGAAGGAGCAAACAACAGGCTCTGATCACAAAAATCTCATTTCCAGTGCTCAAAACCAACCTCAGAGGAATTAATCTTTGGGATCATTTAGATGCTGACATTTTAAGAGCTTGAAGACTCCTACTACTACTCCTGAACCCTGCACTTAAAGGGTTATTGCTGTGTTTGGTGTTTGAACACAGATAAAAGACTGCAAAAGAAGTGTCACTTAGCATTTTTAAAGTGCACTTCAAATATATGTTATGTTAAAGTAATTTCATGTATACACTGAAAATTTCGCCGCCCCAGTTTTATATCCAAGAAATTTAACTCTCATTAAAAATTGGCTTTGTTTTGTTTTTAAAACCTGAACTTCTAAAAAATTAATCCTTTTTTGAATAATTATTAAACTGTATGCACATAAATGTACAAAATTAGAGAAGCTTTGTATACTTTTTATTTTTCCTCTTCCAACAACTGTTGCTGAAGCATGAGTCTTATCCAAGATGCTTTGTTATCTCTTTATATCTTGTGCAATCTTACAAAACTCATGTTCCCTTTTAAAAATCTCAGCTTTTACTTATAGAACATATTCTTAGGAACAGAGTTTGCTTGTTGTTTCTGATTCTTCTGGCTAAATGATCTCAAACAATAGAGGCACTATTGCATTTAAGAAAAGCTAGTTTAAAACCAATTAAAATTATTCAAATGTAAAATATTCAGATACAGTATGCACCTGAGAGGCTTCATTATGGTGGATTTCTAATCACCTTATGGAATGCAAATTTTCTAATCCAGTGGTTTCCAAACCTTTTGGTACAGATGACCATTGCAAGAAATTTGGTAGAATGACAGACCATCACTCAACCATGTGCATGAGCAGAAAATACTATGAAGATGAGAATGGTTTTAAAGGCCATTTATTGGGGCCAGAGACAAACATTTGAAGTACGATTTGAAAAATGACAGCATTCGGTGTAGCAAAACATTAAGCATTTTGAAGAGGAAGATGAATTTTTAAATCAATAATGTTTCTTTGTGAAAAAATAAAAATATATTCAGATTGACCTGGAGGTAGCACAGTTTTGGCAATTTACAAGAGGATTTTTGCATTCATCACTCTCCACCCAAAAATTATCTACAGAACTTTTGAGTTGGAGAACTGTTACCCTTGTAGCATAACAGAAAATCTTTTCTAAATAAAAAAGTGACAAGAATATGGACATATGATAAAATATGCAATGCTTCCTAGCTCCAAGGAAATTTTTAACAATCTGTCTTTAAGTACCAAACTTGGGGGAACAGATTCCCAGTATCATCAAAGAAGCAAGTTTTCTAAAGGCTTCCTGACAACACACACTCCTGTTTTGTATGTCAAAGTGAGATGTCTGAAGTTAAACTGGCTGCCCTGAAGGATTGTTTCTGCTCTAGTAATTAAGACATTAGTAACGACCTTTAAGGCTCATGACTCATATTGCTCTTTCCGCTGCTTATTGTCTGCAGGTGAGGGACAAAACTAGCATATTATAAAAAGACTTAGAAGAATTTATCCAGCAATAACTGGAGTTAGTCGCTTACCAATACTGCTGCTATTAGAGTAACTGATCTGTCTGCTCTGGTCAAAACCCCTGGGTACTCTCTGCATCTAAATTCTACCTCTCCAGCAAGGAAAAGGCTTAACAGTTTATAGATAAAATGCCTACAAAAAAACCAGGGACACTAGTGCTGTCAAGCAACTGACCAAAATTATGTGTTTTAATACGAGTCTTTCCTGTTGACAGTTTTGCATTCAGAACCAGGCACATGGGATAAACATAATCAAGCTTACCAGGCCCTGCAGGTAACATCCCTTGTGTATGGTGGAAAAATGACTTACACCTTACTGTGTTGTCAAAATAGTACTTTGGAAACAATTACCATTGTAGTATGACTGCTGTCTGGAATGGATGGATGAGGTATACTGCCAAAGGGTCATCATTCCCCCATTTTTCTAATGGTAAGCTCAGGTGTTTCTGAACTGTAAATTGGTTTTTGCATTTCGTAAATGATGTATATCCTTGGCAACCTGCAGACTTTTTATGCCCAGGACACGTAAGAACATACTGTCTAAATGGTGACTCTAAACACTGACAACCTTTCTGATGAGTAGAAATAACAATCAAAGCACCAGTCTAGAAATTGGAAAAACACTTAATTTTTTGTCTGAGAACTCTCACCAGTTGAAATACCCAGAAAAAAACATATTGATCATTTGTATATTCTGTCATTCTTAATCCTGAAACAATTACAACGTATTATTTCAAGAAACTGTTTTCTTGGCTATTCCTCTGCTACATGACTCTCTATTTTATGCTGAATTCCTTAACCTGAGCAACTCATATATTAAAAATAGTAGACGCTAAAAAAAAAGATAATGAAGAGTAACTTGTTAAAACAGATACTATTGATGCTAGCATTTTAACTCTGGAATTAAAGAAAAATCTGAAGATACAAGCAACAGTAATAAAAGCAAACAAATATTATCCAAAGTTTCTGTAAAAAGGAAGAGAAAGAATAACCTGTCACTCATGTTCTCATCTGAGCCTTTTTGCTCCTCATACTCCATTTTGTCCTTATTTGTTTGGTTCACTTCTTCATTTTCTATAACTACCCCTTCATCCAAGATTTCCGGTCCTTGTCGAGCTGCAGCTACTTTTCTTTTTTTCACTTTGCTCTTAGAAAACTCTTGGTGTTGGTATGATTTATTGTCATTGTCCATTTCTTGATCTCTGCTGTTATCCTGCTGTTGAGTTATTGTCAGTGCATTAGAGACTTCTGATGGCAGATCTATTGCCATCCGTTTTACCTTTCTTCTCCTGCGCAAAGTTCTGTTTCCCAAACTGTCAACAGCCAAATCTGGTTCATGCCACAGAGGTCTTTTGCCTCTAATGTTATTTAAGTTTGAGGAAGGCCTACGTTTAGCAACCAACAACTGGTCATCGGAGTCACTGTGGTCTTTCTTATTGGCATGATTCTCCCTGTAGTCTTTGTTTGATTCTTCTAAACTGGAATCAGAACCTTCACTTAAGCAGTGACCAGTCTCCCAGGGATGATGGCTGGTAAATGAACGTCTTTTTCGTCCCCTCCTTTTCCTTGCCTGTCGCTTTAGAAGACAAGACACACTTCGAGAATGATCTCCAGTATCAGCAAAACCTCCTCTGGCTTGCTCTGAACTTTCTTCCAGTGCTGAGACTAGATCGTGAACCAGCTCCTCCATAGTCCTACTGAAATGCCTATATATTACAAGAAAAAAAACACACAAGAAAACAACATATGAATCTGAAGTGTTAAAACGTAAACTCTATAACAATTTTACCTGCCAAAATCATTTTACTTACTTTAGGCAAGGTAGTCTTAATGCCTATCTTATAAAGATTATTTTATTTCTGCTGAGAGATAAAGCCTTGCCAACTAGTCCTACGCAATCTGCAACATATCAGCACACATTCCTTTTAAAGGGTATCTTCCCAAATTTCTGTCTTGGAAAGAAGAGCGGGTTGGGTTTTTTTTTCCCCCATTTGTTTTTGACCTCACTATTAACTCACCTCATCACATTTTTATGATTTTCAGGGATTCCACACGGCAAGAGCATCAACAAAGACCATTCACTGTAACTGCAGGTAGGGAGCACATTTTAAATTCATGAATGGGAAATGGAATACATAATATTCCTCTTTGATAGTATATTAGGGAGTTCTGTTTAAAGAGTGGTCATTATGATAAAATGTTTTTGAGGATAATTATCTCTTGATGCTGCCTAAATGCCAAAATGAAGTTAAGACAGTAATTCTTTGATAATATAACTTTTTTTTTTTAAAAGCAACTAATTTTGTCTTTCTAAATGGCTGATATCTATTTGATTTTTTTTTTTTTTAAATATTGGTTCAGTAGAGTGATATTAAGTTGAGAGAATACCCTGCTACAAGTAATTCTAGAGTATCAAATGCAAAGTTTCGCACCACATGTAGGCACCCACATCCACAGAATCACACGCTTGTGTAAGGAAAAATATCCTTAAAACACACACAGTGTCTGATTAAGGCCTTATCCTTTTAAATGTTTTGCTTCTTCCTCCTCAAATTTCACTAGCATTTAGCATGTCTTTAACTCAGTATGCTTCGGTAAGTTCACCCGTATTCACGCAAACATAATTATGAAAAGAAAAGAAAACGTTAAATGATTGCTGCTGAACTCTAATCCTTCTCGGAAGGCTGTGAACCTTCTCTGTAAATACAGCAATCAGATTCTTACAGCAAAGCATCAGAAGACTCCTTTCATTGAGGTAAAGCAGAGAATAATGTTCACGCTCTTTACTGCATTACACCAACTGATAAATATGGAAGACACTCAGTAAATTATGTAGGGAATGTTTAAAAGCAAGACTCTTCACTTTGTTTTCCAATATAAATTGATGGAAGAATGAACAACTGGTTTTCTACCCATACTGGCAGAGTTGTAGATGTGGAGAAAATATAGACACATAGCACACAGGTTCCCTCTCTGACTTACAGCAAACTCCAGTGCTAAAAGTACTTAATGGTGATGGCTGAATGGACAGTCATGACCATAAAGTCCACAAGTTTTAAATATTAATGAGGGAAATGAAGAGCATGTTTAAGAAGAAATCCAAGCTGGTCATGAAATATCTTACCTAAAGAAATTATATATTCTCCTTTTAAACCATTTTCAGAAACACTTATTTTAAACATTCAATTGCATGATCACCAAAAGCACAGAGAGTGGTAGAAACTTAAGCTCATTTTGAATTCCTGAAACTACTGTGTCAATTGCATTTATTTCTCATACCTTTTTTTCTATCCTGCTGTAATCTCTAGTCCTGCTACTCCCTCTTAACCTAACATTTTCTTTGGCTCTTAGTAGAGCAGAATCATCATATCACCTTGTAGGGGTGACACGGCTCTGGAAGAATGCTACATTTCTTAATCCATTTGGTTCACAAGAATCAAAACCTCCAAAATCACACAAAAATACTTCTCAGAAGCAAGAGAAGCAAGACAGTAGGAAAAGCATTTAAATGAAGCAATGATTTTCTGAAAATTCAGAGAGAAAGAGAAAAGTGGAAGCCAATTAACCTAGAAATTAGTTCTAGAGACATGTGGCATCAAAATGATTTAAAACTGATTCTTACTTCAAGTTTTCAAAGTTTAAATTACTGTGGAGGGTTTCTGGTGTGTGTGGGGGGGTTGTTTGTTTTTTGCCTGGGTTCTTTGCTTGTGTAGTAGGAATTTCAACCACCAGTAGAGGCAAGTCCAGGTATATTTGTACAAGGTTTCGACACTCAAATATGTTTCTCAATAGCTGTAACTGCACAATGGGGAGCGTCCTAGCCCCTTTAGCCTTATTGTTAAACACCCATGAAGATGGCTATCCTCGCAGGTGTGCATACCAGAAATGAGATGCCCTTGAGATTTAAGGAGCTTTCTAATACTTCTGTGCTAATATAACAGGAACTATAAGAGTCAAACAGACAAATTCCAGTACACTTATTTGGGTGAATTTGAGACATCAATTCCCACAGCTGCCTGCCCAGCCCTTCTGCCACAGGCCTTCACGTTTATAGTGAACGAGTAAAAGCAGAGGTGCACCAAAACCTGAACTAGTAGGCTTAAACCTATATTCAACTCAAAACAAACAGGTTTCTGCTAACATGCCTGAATATGAAACTAGCATATATACCCTCTTACAGCCTGTTCTGCTACTGCCCCTGCAGCACAAAGTAAAAGGGAAAAGAAAGACAGGGACACTAATGTCTTATACCACCATTCATAATTAATTCCATTAATTCAGTACCCCTAATCCATATGGATAATTGCATCACTAAAATCAATGTAGCTCCTAGAGTGGACATACCAATCTACTCCAGATAATGGCATAAGTATGGTGGTAAAGTTGCCTCAGTTCTATGAAATACTTCAAGATCAAACACAATATATCCAGCTTGGATTTATACATCTGATCTAAACTTGCCTTGCATTCCCCCCAAAATACTCTCAATACAGACAGTGCCAGATCAAAAGATGAAACTCAAGAGGAGTGAACACCCTTAAGTGTTTCTGAAGTAAAGGGATAACATGATTCTTAAAAGGCCCTGAGCAGTGAGGCACTTACTTTCCATCAGACTATAACTTTGAATTTTAAGCACTCCTGCAATTAATCTTTTCTACTGAATATCAGGTCTCTTCATTGCAACTCCTGAACCAAGATCCGTATAGGGCAGCTACCTTGTTTACCCTAAAAATTACAGCCATGGTCTTATGTATAATACAACTGGATCCTAACTGCATTACCTCTTGGATAGATCAGACAAATTAATATTATAATTACTTCAAGATGTTTCCTTAGGATGATTATGAGAAATAACGTGATCTATTTGGGACACTGGAAGCTCCTTTGTAATAGATTGAGAATACAATACACATATTACTTCAGCTTTTTATTCACATTGCACTTTCAACATGCCAGTGGTCCACATTAAAACTCCTTCTCCTGAAAACCCAAGAAATCGCTTTTGATTAATTTTAGTGGACCTCTCATTTCTCTTGCTATCATTGAAGAAAAAAAAAATGGCAACAGGAACTAGATAGAACAGTTAATCTGAAACCTGTCTTCAAAATTCAAGAGCGTATTTCTATAACGGCATTATTTATCAGACAAACTCAGTTTTGCAACGTTCTCCATTGTTCACAACCAGCTGTCAAGCTTGTATTCCAAACCTATGAAGTAATTTTAATCATCACCACAGATGTTACTGTAACAAAAATATTTGCATTTGCAATAGGTTGAAAAATAACTACAAGAAGTATTGAAGACATTACCAGTGAGTATCAATTGCATTCAGTAAGATGAGAAATTTCAAAGGCTGTAATAAGGAATGTAGAACAACATATTGAGGTACATAAAATATTACGTTGAGCCATAGTTTAGTACAACTCACATAAGGCTATAAAAATGCTGTTAACAGCAACAGCCCACAGCTAGCAATAAACTGTAATGTCTTCACTAGGAGAAGATTCTACTTTACTATAAGAAAATCTAGTTTGCCTACACTGACCTTTACGTTTATCTGAAGCAATTTTAGTGTAGTTCACCAAAGACTCACCCATTTCCTCGCTGACCCTCACCAGAACAGACCATAAAAGTACTGTTGCAGGAAACAGCGTAACTGCTTTCACCTACTCCAAAACAGTCCACACAGCTTGTGTTCAGCATTACTATTCATATTGAAACTCTTAATGGAAGTAATAGGCACTTGCTTTTTCAGTGAAAAATCAAGTATAATTTTTGTTCACTTCCCACCTAAAGCATATAATAATGTAGAGCTCTGACTGCTCACAAAATATTTAACACACACTTACACACTGACAGGAAAGCTAATTTAGTTGCACAACTTGTAAGGAAAGGCTGTATCTTTTACTAAACCGACAGCTGCATTTATATTTACTTTCTAGTTCTAGACCTTTTCCTGTTAAATAGATATAGGGTTTCTTGCAGCTAAAGTTACACTGCATCTGTGTCTCATCAATTCTGAAAAGAACCATGATTTCTGCTGCCTTCACAACCCACCTAGATCACAGGCTAAGAGCACAAGAAAAAAATCAAGTAGTTCCTTGAGCACGGGGATTATAAAACCTGGCTTTCTATAATCTTTTTCCATACGGATTCTCTGATGTCTCATAACACAGCTGTACTCACGGTGTACCTTTATCCTCAGACAGGTACTAATTTGAAACCGATTTCTCCACCTCAGAAGTTATTTTCAAAGCCTTAGAAACATTAGTTTTGAGATCTCTGCTTTATTGATGAATGTGACTGACATTTGGATTTAACAGGTGCAAGTATTTGCGAGGGAGTAGCTAATGATAAACCTCACCACCTTGCCTAAAGAATTTACAGATTCAAAATAAGAGAACTACTATGGTTCTTGGGATACACAAAGGGGAAAGCAAAACGGAGCAACACAATTTAGTTAAAAGTACTAAATAGCTAGCAAGAGACTACGGTAGATGAGGAAATAACTAATAAGCCTATGTTACGTAGAAGCTTATAGTATACATCAGAAACAGAAATTGTGCCTAGATTATTTAAACTTGGCTGTCATCAAATGGCCATCACCAAGAGGAGGACATCCAGTTTCATGTCCACACCCATTTATGTCCTTAGGCATTGTCTGCTGGAAAACCAGGTACACAAAGCTACACAACCACCAATACCCCATAGCAACAATCGCTGGGGGGTATAACAGCTAACTATCGATCTACAGAGAATCCCCATACTCCTCCACTTCTGAGGACCCTGCCCAGTGCTTCCTATAAAGACTAAAAGCCAACGCCCTGGCAACACATTCAGAGTAAGTCTGACACGCAGACAAGAGAAACTTAATACAAATGTAATTTTCATATTATAAAATTTAAAAACGTGACAGTGTCAGAACAGAAACCTACAGAAATTAAATGTCAGAAAACATAACTATTTTGAGTTTCGTATAAGATAGTGTGAACAGTTACAAGAATTGAGAACTCTTGACACAAGTCAGGATACTATGGTAGAGCACATCTATATCTGAAAAGGGAAAAACAAGCCCAAAATCCCAGGCTATTTGTCATCTTCAAGGTGTGTCAACTCTCCTTTTTTGCAGTCAGTTATATGTGTATATAAATCAGTTTCACAAAACAATAGAAGTATAGGGGGAGTTTTAAAAAAAGAAAATTTACAAAAGTCATTGTTCTACAATTAAAGACATAATTACTACACTTGCTGGAAACTTCTTTCGACAAGTTTTGGAATTTCCTTACACTTGTCCTATACAATAAAAAGTTACTAGCATTTGAGGAATGACAGCATTTTATTAGCTGATTATGTCGCTGATCCCCTTAAAAATTAGGGCCAGTCAAACTTGCAATAAGTACATCTGACTTTTCTACAACTGCTGCTTATCTAAGAAGGCACAACAAATACTATCAATTCTACTCATATTTAACAGTGAGAAAGTATTCAGTATAGAGTAACGGTATACAGTCAGAAAGATGCTGACATGAACTGCATTTAATAAGGCTCTAACACAAATGAATTGGTCAGCCAGAAATGAGATTTGGAGCAATTTATCATGAGAGGTAGCAATTCTTGGAATCCCATTGCTGCCATTCACTGATATGCTTACCCTTTTCGGAAGTATGACTTCATTAATTGTCAAGGTGGAGAATCACATGAACTGTCATATGATGGCAATATGCTATAGCACCAAAGTCATCATCAAAAGAATCAGAGTGCCTAGTAAGTACCCAAAATGCAAACTATTCCTAAATTGTCGCATGTATTCACAATATAAATGAAAAACATTCCACTTCAGAGGAGCTTTACTTCCCAAAATGAACACTTTTACTCTGTGGCTGTTAAGAATCTACTCATTTCTTTAGGGTCTTAACATTTTTAGAAAGCAGTTGTTCTTGATTTTCTACATCAAGTATTAGACATCAAAAAAAAACCATTTTCCTGCATTTCATTCAAATGTGTTTCCTTTAACGGACCGCTTCTGAAATAACTTATGTATAAGGATAACAAAAGGGAGTGGCTCTGAGGAATAGGCAGATTTTTAACAGATCTTCCTTCAGAAATGCTAAACTTGCTAGTTAGTCCTATAGATAAGATTTCAATAATTCTCTCTGTACTGAATTCCTCTGGGTAGTGTATTTGCACAAGCAAAATCATTACTGTCTGATGACAACTACAGAAGAATATGCAAATTCCCACACCTCGTGCTGCTGAACACTATTTTTAAAGCCTCTGGAACTAAATTAGTTTATGTGGACACAAAATAGTAAAATTTAAAGACAAATGACAGGTTAAGTATATAATGAAAACTTTCTCGGAGTACAGATACAAGTTTGGAATGTCTTAGGCAATGTTTCTACTGCATGCAGCATTAGTACTGAAATAAAAATACCTCTGCCACTAGAGCACACCTCATTCTCTGAAGTGTTCTGAATTACACCAACAAAAGCAAAGTTACATTTACACCAGGCAAATTCACATGCCTAGCAATACCAGCAAACTTCTGCTAGCAAATATACATCATCTGGGCAAATAAAATCCCTCTTTGAAAGTTTTCTCATTCAGAAAAATGCAAAGAAGCCATGAAAACACCCACAGGAAAAAAGTGGTGGCATCAGCAGAAGTGGAGAAGGAATGGAGTTTCCTATGTAAGAAAATTCAGTGCTAAGCCTTTCTCTTCCTCTTCTTCCCCATACCCAGAAAAGAAACAAAGAAAAACATAAAAGAAAATCTATCTCAGATCTAGGAACTCTGTCGGCAGGTATCTGTATACATAACATAGCCTCAAGGCCTCAAATTATCAACATTCAAGAAAAAAAACACAAACAAAACCGCACCACGCTCCTCTCCACTTCCATTACTAAAAGTGAAATGAACTAGAAGTTAATACACATTGGTTCATACCTAACATATCACAGGATACTTAACATTTCATGAAGGAAATGAAAGGCTTCCCAGATGGTTGGTTGGGATGTCTCACTTCCATCGAGTCTCTCCACTACCACTCTTTATATCTCCATGGCCTATTAACAAAGTTCACTTTTCCCTTTTCCTATTCTGTTACTCAGTTTCCCCTCTATCACAGTTCTACAATAAAAACAAGATGGTCTTTGGGGTCACTATGCTAGTATATGGAATTATATAGAACAGTAAATCTGTGAACTATCTTGCAGTAGAACTACCCATACTTTCCTTGCTCATTGGCTATAGCTGCACTTGTTGATTCTTGGTTTGCAAGAAAAAAAGCTTCAGAGCAGCAACCACACCAACTGGTTGTTTCTGTAGCACACACTGCAAAGGGTTTAAGCCTTAGGGGGTCTACGACAAGTAGACAAACCCAAACATACACAAAAAACTTAATAACCTTTTGACTAAAGTTTTGTCTTATCATTTGCTTGCTGTCCTTTTTTAGCAACGAGAAGTTTCTTCCTCCAGCCCACCGCTTGCTTACAAGCGCGGCGAGCCATTGGGACGTGCCAGTGGCACCTGCCAGGCCTCCAACCCCTTTCCCCCGAAGGCCTTGAGCGCAGAGGAAAGCACCGATCTCTCTCCCCCCACATAAGCGGCCCCCCCAGGCCGGCAAAGGCCTGGCAGCCCGCCGGGCAGCAGGCAGGGCCGGCCGGAGCGGGGGCAGCACTTGCCCCCACGCTTCCAAGCCCCCCACACGGCGCGGAGATGGTGTTTCCGATCCTCTCCCCCAAATACCGGCACCGGCCAAGCGAAAGGGCAGGGGGCGACGGAGGCGGCCCTGCCGAGGGGCCTCGGCGCCCCCCGGTCCCCCCACCGCGCCCCCCAGGCCTGGGCTTACCAGCTCTTTCTCGCCGCCTGAGCTCGGGTCGGGGTAGGCTCAGCGACCCGGAACATGAACCCGGCGCCTCCCCCGGCCGCTCCCCGGGGAGGCTGGCGCCACTTCGCAGAGACTGGGCCAAGGGGGGACGGGGCGGGGGACGGAGGCAGGGCCGGGGGCCGCGGGCAGGGGCAGGGGGGTGGGGAGGAGGGCG